TGTTTGTAAAGCATGCAAGTTACTTTCACAGTATTTCCAAGCAGAGGAAGTTATTTTCAATCTACATTGATTCTCACGGTACGTGGGATCTGTCGATTTTTTTTCTTCAAACCCTACTAGAAGCTACGAGTCAATTATAAAGAAGATCGAGTTATACAAATCCCAATTTTACACAACTAAATAGACAAAAAAATAAACATGACTGATTCAATAATAGCGAAAGTTGGGCTAGTTGGTGGTTCATGCTTGGGATGTAAAAACAGCGCAAAAAATATAGACAAGGACAGAGGAAGAGATGACACTGCGCTGAACTCGCTGCTAAACTTTATTGGAAGATACACGCACACATATCATGCAGTCGACCTAAGGTACAGGGGCTTTAAGTCGACCCAGTCACGTGCCTTGTTTGCTATGCTACGCAGACACCTTTGCTTCACCACGTGACCGGGTCGACTACATGATATATGTGCGTGTGTCTTCCAACAAAGTTTAGTTGCGAGTTTCAGCGCGGTGTCGTCTCTTCCTCTGTCCTTGTTTATATTTTTTGCGCTGTTTTTACATCCCAGGCATGACTGATTTTGTGTCATGAGAATCGGTATAACACGAAAGTGAAGCGCGTCTTTATACGGAGGTAGTTGAGCGTTTATTGCAGGCCCGTAGACAGGAATTACTTTTTTCCGGGGGGAGCACTTGCTGAACACCCCTAGCCCCTCCTGCCTACTAGCTACGGGCCTGGTTTATGGTGCACGTTCACCCGCAAGCTGAGGCGCTTGGACTGAATACTATAGCAACCAAGGGCATGTAATGTCACGCTAAGAACGGCAAGGCGCTCGAAAATTTGCAGCATGTTCCTGAAGCAGAAATGGCGCACGAAATGTACGCCCACAGGACGAGCGCGAACAACTACACGTATATACACAGGACGAGCGCGAACAACTTTAACAATTGTTACTCGTGTGAGCGCAGCCTGTTACTTTAAATCGCAAGCACAGTTGCCGCGGTGAGCGATTCGTGCTCTCTCTAAGGTCAACGCCCACATGTGGTGAAAACGCGAAACGTGCCAACTGCTGCAGTCACGAGATAAGCGCGGTTGCACGACCGAACAGCCCCTGCTGAGGCGCACGCACTCAGACCATTGCATGGGGCGACGACTTTAAGAACGTGCCCTGTAGACCCTTCTCGCCATCTCGTCAGTGGTAACAAGAACACGTTGAAATCGCCCATCTTTCAGCACTTCCAGTGGTAAATAGTATATATAAATAGTTTTCTGTTATCAAGCTCAAGAAAGCGCACTTTGTGGTCGAGTGCGCAACGCGCGCTGCGGAACGAGGAGTCGTAGGTCCGACTGCAGGCGACAAAACATTTTCTTGTAGTTTTTCCTTTGCTATCTCTTACTATATGTTTTCCAACGTCATATCCGTGACGGGAGTACGTCAGTACTCCCGTGGTGGGACCAAGGAGGTTATACTGAAGATTTAGCATGACCTTCTTGAGTGAGACCCGCCGAAATACACTATCGTGTTAAAAAGTCAGTATGACAAGAGACTATCAACTAATTGATGTATTGAAGCGATTTGACTCAGTTATGAATTTTTTTACGACACTCCATTATTCTCATACGAGTGTCCCGGTACAGAAGCGCAAAATGACCCCATTACAGTCAAAGTAACTGGTACCACGTTATTATTTCACTGGTTCTTTTGGCAGTGCAAAACGTACGCCGTGCACGAGTAGGCACTCAGTTTCCTCTACGCCCCTGCAAAATGATCCTAAAGTCCGACCAAAGGAGTCTTTTTTTTTTTTTAAACAAGCTTTTTATGTTGTCATTGTGCTCTAAAAATGGCTCACACCTACTTTCCGAGTGAATTGCCAAGAATCGTCTGACTTACTGGTGGTAGCGGTTGTGATGTTGCGAAGGCGGGGTGCATCTGACTTAACACAATCAGCCACTAATGTAACAGTAATGAAAGTTTTCTATTCGTCAAAATATAAAGTATAATTTTAAAAACGCACAGAGAAACTTCTCCTTATTTATTTAATAAATAGCTCTCCAGCAGCTACGCATAACTCCCTGCAACGATCTCCTAACGCGGATGCTCACAAGTAAAGACTATTTCAAACAGAAACTTTCAATCTGATTCGATGAAATTACCATTCTGGAACATTTTTTTTAGATGCAAAGCAGCTCTTTGACTAGACTGTGTAACGCGCTGTCCCTTCGTACGATTGATGTCACGTTCCCCTCGCAGTGCGCGTTGACGCCACTCTCTCCCTCGCCTTGCCACATGCCAATGCCACCTAAAACACATGCTCGACACCACCGACTCATCGGTTCACGCGCAATGAACCTGACGCGTCTACGTAGGCGCGCTCATCGCGTACGTGTCACCTCTCTCTCACCAAACCCTCTCCACCACTCGCAACGCTCGAGCTGAAATCGGGTGGTAACACTTTTTCGGCCGCTGAAACTTGTGCCGATGCGATTACGCCTAACCCCACCGCCGCTGGCGTTGCGAGGGTTAGCGAAGCCGAGAGTGTTCGCGATCGGTGACGTTGTTTACTCGAGTAAACGCTACATCGAGTTTCGCTTGAAACCGTTCTTCCAGCACCCGCATCGACGCCCCTTTCAATCAAATCAACGCCGTGCGCTCCACTGCTGCTTCGCATCTCATCAGATTTCCCTTCGGGGCGACGGTCCGATTTTTCTTTAATACGAGTGTTTGATTCCGGTGTCCACCAAGACTTCTCTAACATCATACCGTCACGAATGTGATATCAGTGAAATAATTATTACAAGGTTGCAAAGAAAAACCAAAACAGCCGCGTTTTTATTTATCGCAACAAGTCAAAAATATTCGATGTAAGTACTCCTTTAAAGAGACTTTTGCAACTACATGTCATTCAATATAGCTGTATTCTTAAAGCGGCTTCAATAATGACGTGGTCTCTGATAAAACGCCTGTTTACCACGCAAAAGGCCTGGGTTCAATTTTCACTCTCATTTTTAATTCACTTTAATTACACCTTTTTTAGGAGCTAAACTCCTAAAGCCATGGGTCTGTCCCTCCTTGATTGATATTTGGGGTTTAACGTCCCAAAACCACGATTTGATTATAAGAGACGCCGTAGTGGAGGGCTCCGGAAATTTCGACCACCTGGGGTTCTTTAACGTGCACCCAAATCTGAGCACACGGGCCTACAACATTTCCGCCTCCATCGGAAATGCAGCCGCCGCAGCCGGGATTCGAACCCGCGACCTGCGGGTCAGCAGCCGAGTACCTTAGCCACTAGACCACCGCGGCGGGGCGGTCTGTCCCTCCTACCTCGTATGTGAGCTCCTAGTTCGATACTCACTCAGCAGGTGCGGATGGACGGCCGAACGATTCACGGTTTACCGATAAAACCCTCCAAGCTTCACTCCACTCATCATCATTCACTCCGTGAACAAGCTGTGATTTTTTTCACTTTTAGCTCGTGGACAACACCACTTTCCCTCTCACAATCGATGGTGACATCGATACCTACGAAATTTCTGTGAAACAAGCTCCTTAATGGTATTCGCTAAAAAAATATCGTAACGAGAAAGACAGAACAGCCACAGACTACGCAAATAATGAAGGGAGGCACGTTGACCATCTGTGCTGTTGTACTCACGTGCCACTAACCCATTAACGTCCGGATGCAAGACACCTCAATGCCATCATGGCATGCTCCCTGGGTAAGTGGTGCCACCTCTGTAGCAATTAGAAGCCACAAATCGGGATTGTTGTTCTCGGTTGACGTCTCGGTGACAGCCTGCCAAAGGTTTTTGGATATTGATTATAATGCATTATTTATTGGCACAAGGGCCAGGTGTAACCAAACAGCATGATGTATGCAATGGATTGTAGATGAAATGAAAATAAAAAAAATTCTGAGCTAATGTTCTCGTGTAGGTCTTGGTGTAGTTTCAAATCCTGTACTCAATGCAGCTCCACTTATGTGAAACTTGGGGAAGTGCGTAGCACGGAGAACCCGGTGATTCCCGTGCTTGCCGAGGCAGTGGATGCCTCTCTTACGTGGTGTGTCTCAGTTGGTTTTCAGGGGCGAAGCTCCTAAAGCCGGGCGTCTGTCTCTCCTAGCTCGTACATGACTGCCTAGTTCGCTGACTCACTCAGCAGGTACCGATGGACAAGGGATTCACGGTTTACTGATAAAACCCTGCTAAACTTCACCCCACTAATTATCGTTCACTCCGTGGAGATGCTGCATTTTTTTTCAGAAGCGTTTTTTACGATTTCATGTAAATTATTGCAATTATTTCTAGGCTATTTCTGTATTAAGCACTCCAGGACTATGTGATGCGAGACACCGGCTAAACTACAAGCAAGACCCTTCACACTGCTACGCCTCTGGACAGATTACTTGACAATTGTACACAAATAGAGCATTCCCGTTGTACCACTGTCCCTGATTTCACCACCTGGCTAGGATATTTGGAGATGCCACAAGCATGAAGGTCAATGCGCACACAAGCAGCACGCGATGGCGTCAACATCCGAAACCATGCGCGCTCGAAAGGAGGCAGCGTTGTGCGCATTTGTAGGAGGCTTTTTGAAGCTGCCATGCGGCAAACAAAGCTAACATAGTGGCCATCACACCTGTAGGCATGTTTAGCATACCTCACTCGCCATACTCGAGATGTCCCTGTTAACTATCTAGGAGCACTCAACTAACAGACACACTTTGATTGTGAAAAGGGTGGAAAATGCCGTGCAATAGAAAGTATGACGACAAGGTTACAATATAATATAGCAATCAAAAGGCTCTTGGTTATGTTTAGGGATGCGTACCGACGGTGATGTAGACAGGAGTTAGCTTGATGGGTCCAGTTTATGAGGGCGCGCCTCGCCTGCAGCTCGCGATAGGTAGGTGCGCATAGCGCAAGCACAATGTGTGGCCTAGGTGCAACCAGTTATTCCAAATGGCATTGAGGAGAACTGGAAGAAAATACACACAAGTTATGTACACAACACAACGGATATTTATTAACAGAACATTTTATTGAACGGCCTTTGATGGCGGTGGTTCGATTTTCCATATGCGCACCCGACCTTCGTCCCCAGCTGAAGCGAGAAGACCAGGCGTGGATGGGTTCCAGGCGACGCTGTTGACGTCTTGTTCGTGCGATTCATGGCATGCTAACCGCCAAGAAGGCTCTCCCGAGCCAGACTGCTCTTCGACAAACACGCGAACTCCGTTGTCGCCACAACCCGTGGCTAGTAAGCCGGTAAGCGGGCACCTGCGAATCGAAATGGCAAAAGAGGGGAAAGATAAGGAGCGGGAAGCAAACAGTAACAGAGTTAATGGTTGATTTGTCCAGGCTGACTGATCAGTCGCAATGTCTAAATGTGAACAGCCGCCATCATACCCCAGATTGGCACTGCTGCAGCACCGGCAGAGCTACAATACACAGTGACGTTATCCAGTATGGATAAATTTCACTATGGTATGTTTCACTTATCCTCTAAACTCGGTGGTCGGCAGTCTTTTGGGGCAGAGGGTGAAATCACATGAAGCCGACAGAGCACGAGCCCAGATGACAGAGTGGGGGAGGGGTGCTTTACAGGCAAAGCATACAAATTTAGTGAACTGACAAAAAGTTAACTGGATTAAAAATTGTGTTTATTTTCAGCACGAATGTCACACAGTTGCAAATAAACCTAGGTTACAAGTGAGAATCAAATTTGAGGTCAATACTGCCATGTCAGTCTTAGGAAGTGACAAGTGAAGAAAAGGGGGAAGGGGTGGCATTGCGCTTGCCAGGGGCCGCATGGTACTACAGTGTACTGTAATAGTACTGCTCCACAGACCGCAAGTTGCTGACCTAGCTTGATCCAAATCTAACTAGATTTAGATCAAGCAATGTAGCAAACAATAAATTCTACTTGCCTGCAGCACTTAGTTTTTTTTTTTTTTTCAACGCAAGCCGAAAGGTTTTTTTCCCCCTTTTAACCAAGCTTTTTACGATTTACCCATTTTGGTAGCAGCGTTGTTATGCACGAAAAACCTGGCACGAGAACGAAGCGATTCTTTGAGTGCACAACATTGTAACCCTCAAAGGTGCGTCAGTGATATGCGTATTTGTATGCACTGTTTTCCAATGTTTGACGCCGTATAAATCGGGGGCTTGTCAGTGACCAGTCATTTTTGATATGACAATCTGATGTTTTATCAAAATGAGTAGTCGTATTTCAATGTTTAGTGGATATGAACACATAACCTCAGGTTGCGATGCCAGGGCTGGTACATGAGCAATTAGACACGATGCCAACTGGCAGGCGCCGTTAGCGTGGCGCCCACGCAAAGAAAGAACGGAAAGTACTGGCAGCTGAGGCCCGCACATGTCGAGCTTCGCTTGCCCCAATTTGCTCTATAGGGAAAGCACTCCCAAATTTTTGATTATGTTGAGCATAACTGAATGCCAAGAGTTCCTTGTGCAATGAAGTTTTACACACACAGCTGCAGCCCCTGAACACGCAGCCTAGCGAATGGAAGAAGCGAAAGTGGGTTTTGGGAACCTGCGCCAGATGGGAGATGGGGCGCGTATCCCTTCTGGACAGACAGGCTACGATACGGCAGACCATGGCCATACTAGAACGATTGCGGCAGCTTTGTCTTTAAAAAAGTTCTCTTCTTTTTTCCGGGAAAGGGGGGGGGGGGCAGTCACTACCTTCATCGTCTTATCCCTGCTATCATGTTGTCACTATGAGCAAAGTTTTGCAGAATAAGACTGCTTGTTCAACACCGTTCAACATATTCGAATGTTCAACAGTAATTAAATATTAAGAATTGTCATATACGGTGATATGCGTACATAAAATGCTGACAAACCTAACATGCGAGATCGGGTTTCACGACTGTGCTTGCCACCTATTTTTTGCAGTTTGCACACTGCTTACATTGGCACAAGTTCACCTAAAAAGGATGCTTGGGCATGTTGGTACGACAACCCAGACAAAACAGAAGGTGATAGACAGAGCACAAGAAAAAGGAGGGATACAAGCTGTGGTGTGTTTCAGTTTTTGTTCATGGTTGCTAGTGTCGGTTTCATGCAAAGTATTTTTGCCCTTAGGGGGTGCTACCCTGTCTATATATGCGCAGCATTGTATATAATAGAAGAGTTCCTGCTTGGCTACTGGCTGCTGCGTACTTCTTGTCGGCCAGCGCTTCAGCGTTGTGCACTGTGTTCTTCGTGCGGTGGACGCGAAGCACGATACTACACAAACAGCAGCACTGTTGCTTGTGTCCCAACCTTTTTCTTGCGTTCCGTCGTTTTCACTGTTCTGTTTCTGACACAAGTTCACTAAACAAACAGTTCGATGCTTAACTAACATTCGATAACTAACATTCGATGGTATATTTGCTTATTTCGTGATAAATATAATGACACATGCATTGCTCGGTGCTACGAGTGGTAACAGAAGCACTGAAGATGGCCATAAATCAGCACATTGCTTCTCCGCAGGCACGCTCTCGACCGCTAAGACATTACAACAGGTCTCGTAGCAAGAACTACCTGAAGCCCTTCAAACTTCAGCTACTCACCAAGAGACACTGTAGACAGGCCGCGGGTGCAGCGTGCCAATCGTGCCCTCGCAATCCCAGCTGGCATCTCCCGACGATGCTTTCTGGAGTCGCGTCCAAATACGGACGCTGCCGTCAGCGCTGCCAGAGGCGAGGCGGTGGCCCCGGCCGTCAAAGCACACAGACCACACGGTGTTCTCATGCTTGGACAATGAACATGCGCACTCCCAGTCATCCAACTGCTCGCCATACACACGCACGCTGTTGTCATAGCTGGCAGACACGAGCTCCTGCGATTATGGTACATAAATTGCAGTGGCTGGCAATGTATTGTTTTGAGAGATCACGTGGAGTCACTGTGCTTATTGAATGCCAAAAGCATGCACACCGGTATGCATTATCTATTTATGAAAATAACAGAATAGTATTAAGTGAGAAACACTTAACGTTTTGTCTGCTGTGATGAGAAACGATGATAAAAAAATGAACTCTATGCGATATTTTGCACTGGCATAGGACGCTACATCTATGCACAGCGATGTGCAGACGAAGTTTTGCTTAAACTGTCAAATACAACTTGTAAAGCTCCAACATCGCACCAAATCAAGAGACCTAGCGGTCTTCAGCTTCTCTAAACAACAAAAGAACTGGATCAGTGCTTTGCACTGCACCCCACTACCCACTGAGCATGGACAAAACTCAAACTGCACAAAAAGATCCTAGACAGATCTCTAGCTAACACAATCCAATCTGAAGCTTGTACTTCCCGTAATTCCCGTGGGGGTACAAGATCACAGTGCCAGATCCCTCTCTAGGTATTATTGTTTGAAACTCTGTGGCTGGGGCCTTCTAAAGTTGCATATGACTATGGAGAAACATTATGGTACAAAGCAGAGGAGGTCTTTAAATTAACAAGTTTAGACACTTATATAGGGCCTGAAAGATGAAAACAGTTCCGATTATTCTCACGCACATCTTCTGTCGGATGCCAGATCACTGTTTTGACATCCTGGGTATGACATGTCTGAATAGATGCGCACTCGTACTGGTCCGAATCGTCGATCACTGAAACAGAGAGCAAAGAGTTGACCACACTTTATGGATCTATACTTCTACAAGCAGAAAACAAAAATGCCTTTCACCCTCCCTCCTTTTTATCACAGTAGCTTGTCATAAACAGAGATATCCACTGTGTCCACAGACTATGCTGACAGATAACTTCCGCAGATTAGTTTTACTACCAAACAAGGCAATCCTGGCCCATTGTCTCGGCAGAATGATGGGCATACTGAAAATGACAGAAAAGTTATGAGAAAGAACAGCCCTAGTCATAAAAGCTTCATCATAAACAACCTCTTCCAGCTTCTGAAGTTTACAGAAGGAGGAAGCCCTTGCAGCCTTCGTTGAATGAAAGACACTGGGCTCTTGCATAAGTTTCGTTCGAAGGAAGTGCTGGTTGCTGTCTTACATAATACAGTAAAATCTCATTAATTCAACCCCTGTTAATTAAAAAGTTCGGTTAATTAGGCCACGGCGTCTGGTCCCGTCCAAAATGTACATTGTTCTATGACTGAAAACTTTCATAAATTCGGACAAATTCGGCCGCACTTCGGTTAATTCGAACACCCAACCACGGTCGAGTCACGACGGGGAAGCAGCTGCGAATTCTGCCAGCCAAATCGACGGTGCACCTAAAAAACTTTGGGATTGTATTGCGGCCTCTGAGATTCAAAACTTCATCCATGGGTGAGAATTAGCTGTACATCTCGAAAGCAGCCAAAAAAAAAAAAAAAAAACACACACATGGTGGTTCAAGCAACCAAAATGGAAGGCAGTGCTAGTGCATCGCTACTGTAATCAGCAACGAGCAACACGGGCAACCCATGGATTTGCCTTTCCTTTTTTCTTGTGTGTCGAACACGTTTGCGTGACGGTTAAGTTGAATTGCTCACCTTTAGTGTGCTTTAAGTTTTTTATCTGTGATCAGTACCATCTGCAGTCCTACTGTTTGCTGTTTTTTGAAAAGTTTGCCGGTTCTTATTTTGTTTCTATCACTGTGCAGTTTTTTTTGTGTGTGTGTGCCTGTGTTGTCTACTCCGTGCGCGCGCGCATGACCACCGCGCGAGCGACGCTGGAATGGCTTCCCTGCGTCTCTTGCGGTCCCAAATGCCCCAGCTCTCGCAGCGATGAGGGCGAAGTACGAAGCAAAGAATTCGGCTGCGAAGGTGAAAATATTGAAGGCGTTGCAAGCAGGAGCATTTCGAAAAGAAGTGAGGGAAAAGTTCAATGCGAAGAAAAGCACGCTGAGCACTTACGCGAAGAACGAAGAGCAAATTATGCAAGTGTATGACGGGGACATGCTTGGTGACCAAAGGAAGAGGCTTCAAACGGCAGCACATCCCAAACTAGAAGAAACGCTGTTCCGCTGGATTGCCGTTTTGTGCTATGCGCATTTGCTCTTGAGCGGCCCCCTTATCTGCGCACAAGCAGAGATGTTCGCGGTCACCATGAACACCGACTCCTTCAGTGCCTCGGAAGGCTGGTTCGATCGCTTCAATAAGCGACACGTGCTGGTGTTCCGCAACGTGTGGGGTGAAATAGGTGCGGTTGACGAGAGTCTTGAGCAGGACTGGTGGTTTGGACTATCCGTGCGCCTTTCTACGTACGAGCTGTGCAACATTTTCAACGCCGATGAGGCAGCGCCATTCTATAAGCCGATGAGGCAGCGTTTTCGCGATGAGGCAGCATTTTCAACGCCGATGAGACAGCGCTGTTCTATAAGGCTCTGCCTGATAAAACAATGGCATTTAAGGGGGACGCATGCGTCGGTGGAAAGTGAAGTAAAGAGCACATGACAGTTCCTCTAGCTGCTAACATGACCGGCACAGAGTGGCTGCCGCTGCTGGTGAACGGGAAGGCTGCGAAGCCAAGATGTTTTAAGAATATTAAGCAGCTGCCTGTCGACTACCGGTTCAAAAGGCTTAGATGACTGCCGAACTCTTTCAAGTCTGGCTGTGTCAGCTCGCCCACCGCTTTGCGGCCAAGGCTCGGAAAGGTGTTGTTCATGCCAGACAACTGTAGTGCGCGCACGAAGGTGTCTGGGCTCGAGAACATCGAGCTGCTATTCCTGCCTTCGAACACAATGACTTCCCTGCAGCCGATGGACCAGAAAATCATACAGTTCATGAAAAGCCGCTATCGACGGCAGGTACTCGAGCGGATGTTGCTCTGCATAGAGTCAGGCAAGCAGTACGAAGTAAGCCTGCTAAGCGCTATCCACATGCTGACATACGTGTGGAACAACACACTGCCTGAAGTAGTCGCAAACTACTTTAGGCATTGCGGCTTCGTGCACAACACTGCTGATCCAGGTGTGGTGGCCGATGAAGAAACCGGCGGAGAGCAAGGTGGCCGCTATGTGAACATTATGCCAGCTGATGTACCCCTGGGCGATTACTTCACAATTGACAGCGATGTTGCCGTGGCCGGCACAGTGAACGACAGCGATATTGTCGCCGAAGTCTTGGACAGCGAAAGGGAATTGGTTGACGAGGACGTAAGTGATGCTGACGAGCATCCATGCCACACAATGACGGAGGCTGCACATGCCTTGGCCATTTTGGAGGACATATGCATGCTTTCCTCGAACAGTGTGCACGGACTTAGCCCCCTGTAGGAAATTCGCAAAATTGTAACTTCGTCGCACATTACGTCTGTGAAGCAAACTGCGATCACATACTTTTTTTAAGAAATAGAAGTCTGATGGTGTAGGAGACATTTTTCAAGTGTTTTTTTCATACTCACGATAATTCGTACTCAGTTAATTCAGACATTCTCTCCAGTCCCGCGAAGTCCGAATTAACAGGGTTTCGCTGTACACACTGTATTGCCCAGATCTGATGAGTCACAGCACAACAATGATCACGAGGACCTGCTCACTCACTGCTTTTGTGTGAGCAGTATGTAGGCAGGACAAGCTCGCTTATAACAGTAGTCAGCTCTCACATACCAAATAAAGATACGCTTTACCACTTTTGACTACACTGGCCGTTCTGTAACTGCTTGCTTTCAATATGCCATCCACATTTTGCAAGTCATCTTCAGACATATGCAGCAATTCAACTAGGCCTACAAATACTTATACATTTTTCTATGAGACAGGGCAGCTGAAACAGGGCCTTTCCCATGTTCCAACTAAGCATAAGGGCACTGCTGGGCTCCCCAACATGTTATTGAACACCTTTCGTCTTAGCAAGCAGATAACTGCATTGGGCAGTGGTGGCTCAGTGAGCACGCACCGTTACCTGGCAACAACAAGATAAAGCAACGAAATTGCTCTCTGCTCACAAGGCATAGCTTGGCATGCGATGTTTTTATAGGTTTCCTTACGAAAATTTGAAATCTGGCCAGTTTCCTTCAGGTGTCATCAAACAGAATCACATCGCTACAGATTCGCATCAACATGACTCACTCATATGTCAATGAATATGATTTGATTGTTATGTGTTAACATTAAAGGGACCACTCGCTGGAATGTGATTTTGTGATACTGTTGCAATTCGCAAGAATATGCATAAGTTCAACGCATATCACTGAGAGAAACTGATAACTGATACTTTAGCATAGCAATAGCGTAAACTGGTGTCACTTATTATAATCACAAAATTGCTAGTCTCTGGTCAGCTGCACTGTCTGCCACTACGCAAAACGGTGACTGTAGCCAAACGAAGTGATAGCGAGAAGTGGCATAGCCCATCAGAATAGCCATGATTGACAATAGTGATTGACTGCTTGTCATGATTGACAATGATGCATTGTCTTGATTATCTATACAAGAGTAAAAGCTTGGCCGAGTTGATTTTGATTCATGATGGTGTACAATGCAGCATGTCAATATAGGAAAAAAAGGGACAGAGTAGAAAAATATCCTTGATTTCAAAATTTATCTTTATTTTGCAGAAAAGTAAATTATATACGCTAAGAGAACTACATATGCAAGCCTAATAAAGATATCATCAAGTCAGAGCACTTTTAGCATGTGTACACGATTGCACAACAACCCGGTCAAATGATCATACTCGAACTGTGACACTGCAACTGTCACGACTGTTTGTTACCGCTTGGCTGGGTTATGGAAAAACAAAGAGCATGTGCTAAAAAAGATTTAATTTGACGATGTTTTAAAAATTTTTGCGGCACATACGCATTTCTTTCTTTCAGCAAAATAAAGATAATTTGAAGGCCGGTGCTTTTTTTCTACTCTGTTCCTTTTTTCATATGTTTGCGCACCGTGCTACAGTGAGGTCCGCATTTTTGGATAGATCCAAAATAATGCGATAAACACTCACCAGTAACATTTTTGACAATTCGAATTTATCCGATAAGTTGCCATTTTAAAAGGGCATTTTCAAAACTGACGATTATCCCTTGATGGTAGCGCACCTCCATGAGCTGCAGCAACTTCGAAAAGTATGCACACGTGTATTACAAAAAGCTGTAAGGTTGTGATCCAAACAAACGTAGGTGTTTTGTATTCAAGTATTTGTTCTTGTATAAATATACATATGTGTTAGCCCATTCAAACTTTCCAGGCATTTAAAACATGCTTAGTGTGTTTGCATGTATTGGTGTTCAGATATAATTTCAACTAAGATTTCAGAGTAATAATAATAATAATAATGTGTACTTCATTTTTCATCAGGATCATGAGGAAGCTGGCACAAGAAGCTGAAAAGCAGCTTGACCATCTGCTGCCCCTCTCAGCAGTACACTTAGGCGAGTCTGTGGCAGTGCACATCAACATCCTTATTAGCAGGGTAAACGAGCAGGCAGTGAAGAAAAAAATGAAAGGATAGAAAAACAGGGCTTTTAGCAACAATGCACCGCATGTCATTGGAAATGAAATTAATAGGAAGAAATTGCACCAACTGCTAATGCAATAATTAAACACTGAATTTTGGAGAATTGGAGGTTAACAACAAGTAAACTCTGGAAAACACCCCCTGAATAAAAAAATCTCAGAAAACCCGTAGCCCTAGTTATACAGTCTCTCAGACCACTTGTGACTGCAGTCAGTTATCCAATAACTCACCGTCCCATATCCAGACAGTCTTGTCTCGGCCGCACGTGGCCAGGTGGCGTCCCGAGGGGGACCATGCGACAGCCTTCACTTCACTCTCGTGTCCCTCCAGAGTGGCCACACTTTCCCATGTGCGCGATTCCTCATCGATCCGCCATATACAAACAGTGCCGTCAAAGCTGGCCGAGGCGAGGCGGCTGCCGCACGGAGACCACGCTACGCAGCGCACGGTCCTCTTGTGTCCGTCCAGCAACATGGCTTTACATATCCACTCTCCACCTACACATGCGTAGAACAGTAATGAGCAATTGACACTGGACCAGACGATGGCTGCAACAGCTTTAGTGCCCGACCCAAGATTCCCTGGATATGGCTGTGTTGGCATTGACAAGAGCAACAGCATTTCTGGCTAAAAGCAGTAACAACAAACAATTCAACATAATGGTAAAATATAGGCGATTCAGCAGTCATTTACAATAATTATATGATTAAGATAGCAATGCTAAACCAGTTCCACATATCCTGCTTGAAATCATTGCATCTACCACGGAATGATAACTTGGTGTTATGCCTGAGGGCACTGTATTATACATAATAACCTCATAATGTTATCAATCTGTAGTTTTTTTTTAGCTTTCATCCTGAAACTTTCTTGATTATGACTGCTGCTTTGTCATATAGCTTGCAATTTTAAAAATGATGGTGAATTCCTAGCCCAAAGGGGGAATGATCCTTGCTTCCACAATGACAGGTGCTATGTTATATTGCGAATATATCGCAATGAAGCCCACTACATTATGTAAATAGTTACAACACTAACTGGCTATTTGCGATGATCGCTTCAAGTGCTACATACGAGCCCATAACTGAAACGTGTAACAAGTCTCTCATCAAAATGCGTCAGTTATTTGTCCTAGTTGGATCGCGAAATCGTTGCATACTGTCACATTCAACAGTATGTAGGACGTGACAAGCCGTGGTAGTTAAGAGGCTAAAGAAATGGAATATTTCTGCGCTTACAGCGTCGTAGTTTTAGTGTCTCGGCGACCGCGCCTTTATTACGACACAGGGTGTTTAGTATCCTCTGACAAATTATCATTTAAGTTTATTTTGCAGCAGATAACCTAAACCAATAAAAATTAGTGCCATGTGCCCTGAGACACACAAGGCTGAGTCACAGCAGAGCTGCTGGGCACGCTTGGCTATAGTTTCGCTATACTATACTAGAAATTGCTATTCCTTCTCTTTTTTTTATATTTTTTGTGCATGTTTCTTCCTATCTCTTTTTCTTTTATGCCGTTTTAACTTTTTTATTTCCTCTCTCTGAAGCCGTCCTCTCCCCTTTCTTTTCTTTCTTTCTATTTTTTTCCCTACCTCTTTTCCTCTGTACTAAATATCGTGCTCATAAGTTATCGCATTCCATGCCAGACAAATCGGCGCATGTGTTCTGGGAACGAAGACGAGGACAATGATGAAGAGAAAAAAATGGCAGTGGCTTAGCTCAGCTATGCCAGGATATACGTAGCGTTATCAAAGGTTTAGCTGATTATTCTTAGCTTTCCAGATATCATGCTTACAGCTGTTCCAATGACACACACAATATACGTATTATGCGGCACATGTATATTTACTTTGCCGGACAACTACTTCGGGATGCGATGAGTTAAGCTTCTCCGCTCCACTGCACCGTTGAGAAGCATTTGCACTCTCCTTCTCCATGGCTATACCACAGTGGCAAATGCCAGTCAGAGGCGCTATCAAGCGGCTCCAGCGAAGTGTCAGATGGCGACTGCACAGGGAAGGTGCGCGCGTCGGCGTCTATATGTCTACCAAGGCTATGACGGCACTCCTCTGGAAAGCACACACCGGCGACGGCGAGTCGCGCGCGGCCGCGGCCGAGTGCGAGGGAGGTGCCGGCTCCGGTGCGTGACACCACTGATCGACTGCGCAGCGTACCATTCGGGATTCGCTCGCAGGATTTCAAGCTGGACGGTTGTGCCCTCGCGATCTCCGACATCAGCGTAGCTCCCGCCGACTGGTTCGCCCTCCGCGGTCTCCTGACGCCGTGCAGCTCTCGCATTGTGGCACCCCGCCCTTGGACTGCTTCGACCGGATCCCCACTTTCCTATCTCCTTCTTTTTCTCTCGCTTGGCTATCTTCTCCGTCCTATTTCCTTCTATTCTCTTTATCCCTCCCTTCCCCCCACCCCTATAAGGCACTGCGCCGTGTCGCCTGAAGGCAGACAGAAATTAGGGGCGTTTTTCCTCTTCATTCTAACCACTACTACCACCACCACCATTCCTTCCTCCGTGGCGCATGATGATGATGATGATGATGAATAAAGGCCTCCCCTTTGAATCGGGGTGATGGCATGCGCCATCTAGCCTACCTTAATAGTTCGAGTTTAAATTCTGTCCCTCAACTCGGATGTCTTTTTAATTTTGCCCAGCCGCTACTGTTGGCTGGGATGTTATTTTATCGACTTCTCTGCTTTTCCTCCACCAATACTCCAGCCGCTGCTTAGTAATACCTGCTGCTGACCAGTTAATGCTTCCATCAACCGCGAAGCCCAGCGCCTCAGGAAGTGTGACCTTCCCCCCATTTCTATCCGGCTGAATCTTTTGACATTCCATGACTATGTGGTCGATTGTTTCTTTATTTATGCCACATCCAACACATGTCTCATCCTGTGACGAATATTTGCTCCTGTAAGTTAGAGTTCTCAAGCAGCCAGCCCGCGCCTCAAAGAGCAACGCACTACCTTTATTGTTGTCATAAAAGTTCTCTTTCCGGATCTCTTGTTTGCTTGCCTTGTAGATTCCCAGCGATCCCTTCTTTTCCATCCTCTCTTTCCACATGAGCGTCTCCGTTTCCCTCACTTGTTTTTTAACTGGCCCCCTTTGCTTATTTGCCGCGGTCAAGTTATATTTAGTCGCCAGCTTTCGCGTCCTCTTCCGCCATTTGGTGTCCACACTTTTCAGGTACAGGTATCTGTGCACTCTGGCTGCCCAGTTCTTCTCATCTAAATGTCTAAGTCGCTCCTCAAACCGTATTTTACTTTGTGCTTCCCGCGCCTCAAATGAAGCCCAACCCATATCGCCTTGTACAGCCTCGTTTGTAGTCTTACTGTGAGCTCCCAGAGCTAACCTGCCGACTGCCTTTTGGTTAACCTCCAGCTCCGACAGGATATCTGACTTTGAGCATAATACGGCATTAGAGAACGTGAGCGCCGGCACCATTACCCCTTTCCAGATGCCTCGTACTTATTGTGTCCCCAAAGTGCTCTATGTTTCATTACTGCTGCATTTCGTCTCCCTTTCAGTTTGAGGTGTTCTTCATGAGCGTTCAGGTAGCCTTTTCCTTCATTAAGCCAGATCCCCAAGTATTTGTACTTATTTACTAATGGTATGGCTTCCTGTTGTATCCTTATTGGTGCTACATGAGCTTCCTCGTTGAACACCATGACTCCAGATTTCTGTGGGTTAAAATGTAGGCCTAGGTACGTTGCCTCATCACCACAAATGTCAGCCAGTTTTTGAAGTTCTTCCGCATTATCCGCCAGCAGCACTATATCGTCTGCGTACATCAATCCCGGAATCCGTTGCTCCACTAACACTCCATTGCTTCGGTGTGACAAATCAAAGCCCAATCCACTCTCCTCTAGTCGTCTTTCCATTCCTCTATTGTACAGTGTGAACAGCAATGGCGAAAGAGGGCACCCCTGTTTTAAACCTCTTCGGATGTACACGGGCTCTGTGTATGTACGCCCTTCCCATGTAATGTGTGCCTTGTTACCCTCATATATTGCCCTTAGCAGCCCTACAAATTCCGACCCAATCCCCTCCTCTTCCAGTATATGCCACAGCAATCCCCTGTCCACGTTGTCATAGGCACCCTTTATGTCCAGAAACAGTAGCCATGTTGGTCTGCCCTGTGCTGCCGAAATTTCGATGGTCTGGGTTATGACGAAAAGATTGTCTTCCAAGCGTCGACCCGGCCTAAATCCATTTTGCAGTTCCCCTAAAATACCGTTACTTTCAACCCACTTCAACAACTCGGCTTTGATGGCTTGTATAGCTAATCTATAGAGCACTGACGTGACTGTAATCGGCCTGTAAGAGCTCGCCTTGTCCCTTTCTCCCTTGCCTTTGTAGATCAAACTCATTCTACTTTCGCGCCAGTGCGCAGGAATCCTCTTGGATTTTATAGCCCGCTCGATGGCTCCATACAAGTGCGCCTGTCCCGCTGGTCCCAAATGGTTGATAATTTCTATCGGGATTCCATCCGGTCCTGTTGCCGTACTTTTGGGAACACTGTGTTCTGCCTTTTTCCAGTCCAAAAATTCGATATTAAATTTTTCATCTGCCACTCTATTTGCCACCTGTGTCCAGTTAGCCGACCTCTCGCGTGCTTGGCCGAAAGTATTTCCTATGACTCCATGTAGGTATTCTAATGCGCTGTCCCCCAGGAGAATGTTGCCGTCCCCGTCCTGTATATGAGTCTGCATCTCTTTAGTCGTCATTCCCAATGCTTTTAAATGGTTCCAGAGTTTTTGGGGGGCACTCTTATCCTTCTTACGTATGTCTGATACCCATTTCTCACTCGCAGCTTTAATCTTCGCTTGTACTAGTTTCTGCACCTCAAATTTCTTTTCTCGGTACCGGCTCCACCGTAACTGCACCTGATCATCCTGATATCCCATTTGCTTTGCTTTTCTGTGCAGTCTAGAGGCCCGTCGTCGCTCTTCAATAGCCAGTTTAATTTCCTTGTCCCACCAGCTTCGTGGTTTCCGTTTACCCCTCCAGCGGTTTTTTTTCCTTACTTTGTTTATTTCCTTTTGTATACAACTAACAACCTCATCATATTCCCACACCTTTGTTGGCTGTGCTTCTAATTCTCTTTCGATGCTATTGACGATGTCTGCTATCTGCTTTTCGCTTACTTTCGGGAGCCCAACCTCCTGTGTTTTCTTCCTAGCCCCCCCACTGTCAAATTTCAGGATTATACGCCTGTGGTCGCTGCCCAGACTGTTTTCTCCTTCTTCATCTATCGTCATTTGGTTCAACCGCTCGTACGTGTGTTCTGAGACCAGGCCGTAGTATATGCAAGACTGTCTACTGCCGCTTTGCCACGTTATCTGCCCGTCGCATTTATGTTCCCGGTTAACTATTACCAGTTGCTGTTCTTCACACATATCGATAACCATTGCACCGTTATAGTCTGTATATCCATCCAGATCCTCAATGTGGGCATTTAAATCTCCTACCAATATTACCTCGCCAGATTCTTTAAATTTTTTTATGTCCTTCCTGAGGCAGTCCACCCACTCTTTATTTTGTTCTCTGGCATCATTCCCAGCGCATCGAATTGCGCAGCGCATCGAAATTCGCATCGAAATTCACAGCGCATTGAATTGCGCGCCACCCGCGGCGAGCCGCGCCGTCACCCCCGGAAGCTTTTTCCGGGGGTGACGGCCGCGCGCGGCGGCGGCGGAGTATCATTGCGCATGCGAAGACCAGCGCCACGCGAAATAGGCTCAGCGAGGCCAGTGCAGCTAACGCTACACTGAAAAGCTCGAGCGTAACAGCTCTGCTGGAAACGGCGCTAACATAGCCGCAACGCCAAGCAGAACCAACCTTGTCGCGCAGTTGCATCTGATTCGGTTTGTGTAGTTCTTAAGCGTCTCATATTACCACCAAGATCATGACACGTTGATAGCTTGCCATCGATCTCAAATGACCAGAGATAGCAGTGAACCAAGAATCTACAGATGCCCCACCTTCGAGCGCCCAGAGACGAGTGCTTTTGTCGCCTCCGCAACTGGCCAACACGGTTCCCGCAGGATTCCACGCGACACACCACACACGGTCCTTATGTCCTTTAAGTTCGGACACCAATGTCATTTTCATCTCGTCCGCCATATCGATGCAACAATGACGAGAATATTCAAGAACATCGCATCATTTCTCACCATAACCACAGCATGCTCACGATCGTCAACTGGCTTAGTGGGCGGCACAAAAGTTGACCAGACTTGGCCGTTTGGCTTACAACTTGACTTTTAATATATTTACCAATCATTTAGTTTTAATAGCTCAAAAACTCAATAAAAATGCCGTGATGCGCCTACTTGAATTACTAGTGCAGCGTAATAAGTCTAGAATTCATATTTTAACAGTTGACGTTGCTTTCATTGCGCAACACTAAAAGGTGACGCCAGCATCAAGCGCTACGTAGGGGCCATTTTTTTCTGGTGCCAACAGTCCCACTGCATGTTGATTTGTCTTTTGTGGCGTAACGTTTTACAAATACAATGCCAGCGTTTTGCGCTGTGAGAGGTTGCGGAACAAGGCATCAAAAAGGAGTCAACATATCCTTCCATGCGTGAGCATTGCCGTTCGCAGCGATTTGCGCTTGTTTGTTGATGGATGCTGTCTGCTGCGAGTTTCGGGTTATATTGCATGAAAACAGGCGCGTTTCGTGTCTCAGGCCCTCGATTAAAGTGATGATTAGCTATCAGCCTTTTAAACAGTGCAGGTGGCGGTGCTAATCACCGCGCCAGAGGCAAACGGTGCCAAGTGCTTCCATACATTTCTTGCCGCACGCGGTAAACCATTTGCGCTCTTCCTGTACGCGCTGATCAGGTCTCATTTTTTTCTTTGGAGTTTCACATTTCGGAGAGGCGTATCACTGCACTAGTGGCGAACGTTGGCTACTAAATAAAGAGCGCTAGCTGTAGTGAGAATGCGAAAGCAACACCGCCATGAGCGCGTCTAGCCAGCCGTGATCGATAATCATGTTATCATTTCCTGCGAGTTTGTACCGCTCTCAGGATTGTTATAACGCTGTTCTGGTTGTTGAAAAAGAAATTGTTACCGACCAGGGCAGGCATCTGATCAACGAGGAAAAAAGAGTGAAGAAGCCGAAAAAAGGAAGGGCGTGGTGTAGGCGACGGTGGGCGTGGTATGGAAGAAGGTGGGAGAGAGTTGATCAGCTGATTGGGCGAGTCCATTTTGGAAGCCGCTCAGGCGGATCCTTTAAATCCACTGTTTCCGCGCTTCCCTGTTTCAGCGGGTGCGCTTTGCCAAATATACGGAAACTTGCATATATAATGAAGCAGCAAAACGCATTTCGATTGAATGGCCATATCATATGTGGTTACGGTGAAACTTTGTGAAATGTTTGTGAATTGCTAGTTGTCATGAAAGTTGTGGCCTCTTCGAGTAGCCGGGTTCAAGGGGCAGAATATAAAGTAAATCGGCGTCTGCCACCGAAAATATAGAGCAAGTGGTATGACCAACTCGATAATAAATTCAAAAGGTTATTAATCATAGCGAAACTTTGTGAAACAATTGTTAATTGTCATTTCTTGTGAAAGTATCGGCCACCCCTCCCCACCCCATATTGGAGCATTTAAAATTTTACCACATAGGTGTAACTAGAATAAAACGACTCGACGAAACCTGCTTGCCCTGCTTTCACTGACCAGTCAAATTTTTCGGGAAAGTGCAATCTTCCTCTGAAAAGTTTTTCTGGCTGTCACATTTGAAAACATTGATTTCAACGCATATTTCATTAAAACAGGCTCAATTGCTGGCTCAATTAAACAGCCGTCAACTGCTGTTTTAATTCAATGCCATTCACAATTTTGTACGTAAATGCATTAATAGCTTCGAAAATTGGCTGAAAGTCAACATTTAATATCAGGTTACGGTTTGGTTTTCTTGTTTATGCAGGTTTCCGACACGTGACGCAGAAATGCTGCGGCTTTGGTTACAGGCCGTTGGCCGCGAGGACTTGCAGCCAAAGAGCCACCACCGTATCTGCTCCCAACATTTTAAAGCAAGCTGCTTCTATGCGGGCCTTGATCGAGCATGCTTGCGGCCAGAAGCCGTGCCTACAGAGTTTTCTGGCTGTCGCGAACGGGTGCGTAACTACACCAGTACGAAGCTTAGTGCCACTCCGTCACCAGTTGTCGAGACAGTCCCAAGTCTGGTGAGTCGGTGCAATTAAGAAATGCTTTCTCTTCTTTTTTTTCTGATGTACTATAAGCAGAAAATTGATCTATTGGAATTGGTTGCGGGTTTTCGCAGAGCTCATTTGCTGTCCATACGTTTTGATTGACTCGCGCTGTCAATTGCTAGGTTCCTGGTTAGGTCGATTGGTGGAGTGACCGCCCCGGAAAGGCGTTGGTCGCAAGTTTGAACACCGGAACAGAATAAATTTTTCGGTAGCTAAGAGGCTTTCTGAGATATCCGTACGGATTTTCTTGCGGTTTCATGCTACAAACGAGTGATTATCTTCTTTCACTTTCTTAACCCTTCCACCACCTTGTGGGTTTCCGTAGAACTCATTTGCAATGCAAGAATTGATCTATATATACACATGGAAATCCAATTAGCAAACATTTTTCACAAAACGAGTTCGGACATAAATATAGGCTTTTCTTAAAAATGATGCTGCGATTTTACACTGCCAGTGTGAAATGTTTGCAGAAGCAAGCATGTGTGCATCCCATTTTCAATGCTGCCACTTCAAGGTACCATCTCCAACTTCCACAAAAGGGTATGCTAGTGAAATAGTAGTTATTCCTGCTGACAGAGTTCCCAAGAATCACCTAGAATGAGGTTTAACCGTGCACTGCCACGGTTTGAATGAGAATATCGTAATGTAGAGGCTCTGGACCGACATTGATATTGAGGAGTAGAGTAGACATAAAAAAAAAAAACTTGAATGTGTAATATTTTTGCTTGCTGGGGTAAGTTAATATATGTGCATAGAAGTAGCCTGCAAAAAGTTAAGTTTGCTATGTTACTGTACTGAACGCTGCATAAGTGCTAGTGGAGTTTACAATCAAGGGTTCCAGCAAAACTATCAGTCTATTTTCATTCGTGAGTCATGTCGAGGTGGAATTGTGCAGTGAATGTCTTTTAATATAAGACGACACATTAAGAACCTTAGGAACATTATCATTTTTCATTAGGGCACTTATGTACCTGTTTAAAATAAATTGGGGAGCCTTAAGCTTCTCCAGAGTTGAATGTGACAGTGATATGCTGTTCTTAGTGCATACTTCAAGCACTTAGTGCATGCCTGTTTCTTTTATATAAAGTAAATTGGGAACCTTAAGCTTCTCCAGAGTTGAATGTGATAGCGATATGCTATTTCTAGTGCACACTTCAAACACTTAGTGCATGAAGTCTTTTCGAATTTGCTACGCACCTATTACACATCCTTGAAAGAATAGGTGCAGTAACGTCTGTGCCTTTTGTAGTGCGTCACTGGCTTCAAACTATGAAGTCATTATGATCATCACATGTTCTGATGCCCGATGGCAATGTACGCTTGTACCACGCATTATTACTGCAATATTTCATACTGTATTGTGAATCATGTATACTGCACGTGTGTGTTTGTAAAATCTGAAAGTTACTTTCACTGAATTTTCAAGCAGAGAATGTTATTTTCATTGTGTTCCCAAGCAGAAACGTGGCTTTGTGGTAAAACACCCACTTGCCAAGCAGACGACCTGGGTTCGGTCTCAACTCAGACCCACAATTTTTTATTATTTATTTTATTTGCATCTTTCTCGATTTCGTGGCCAAGCACAAAATGATGATTTTTTGCTTGCAACCAACAACGCCAACGCCAGAATTTCTGTGAAACTACCTCTTTAACGCTGTCACAATAAAATTAGAAGTACACATCAGCAATGGAGATACAAAACAAAATATTACATAATTTGTGTTAACAGAGTGGTGCCACTATGTTGTGATTCATAAAGCCGTAACATGATGTGTGCTCTGCATATGTGCCTTCTTGCCATTACAATGAGTTGGTATTACCATTCCACTTCCACAAATTGTAGGTTCTTGAACTGTTATTGCCTCAGGCAAATAATTCTGGTTTCAAGCAGGCATATCGTGCATGGTCAGCATAAAATTAAGCTTAAAAAAAAAAGCCGATCATAACCTCTATATGTGTATGGTTTAACGACCAAGATATGCATTTACTTGATTACGCTAGTGAACCGGTCATATGACACAGAGAAGTGCGCTCCAGCTGTTCACTCATCATATGAATTGGCATACCTCGCAATGAAATTACGTTCAATGCAAAATAATACTTGTTATATCCAATAGTGTTATACACCATTGCTGGTGTACTTTTTATATTCTGCACCCAAAAGTTTACGGAATGTGGGCTCCACTGCAAATGCGAATGTCTGCTCTGTTAGTGCGCGGCGCTTCTAACCTAACTGGTAGCTGCGTTGGTACCAAGGTCTACTACATGAAGAAACATCTATTTAGATGCTATTTTCTCAGACAAAGCTGGAATATAGCCTTGTCGGAAATGTCGGCTCCGCAATCTTTTGGGGACGGTGGTACATTGTTATTGCCGATAATTCGTTACGTACGAATATCTACAAGTGCTGCAAGATCCGTAAAATGTCACTCAGCACTCAAATTGGTTGGTTAGTCGTAGACGCCCTGCGTAGTGGCGTACCGAAGATTCGGTTTTGAGAGTTGTGGGCACTTGGGTCCATAATTTTTCGAATGTAGGCAACACCGCTCACATACCGCTGTGGTAACGAATGGCAGTACGATATTCACTTCCTGCAGGCCTGTTTCCGCCATTTACAAGTTTGTGAAGCCCTGAACGTGTTCAAGCGTAACTGAACCGAAACTGAAAGTTTTTCGTGACGCCGGCAAATAACGCGTCGTAAAGGAACATGTTGCAACGCTCGTCATTGGTAAATATGATAGTTGGTGGTTATCAGGGGCGCAAGAGTTCAAAAATGCGTATTAGAAAATTTTCATTTTGAGTAAAACGGCTGAATAATATCGCCTTCGAGATATGCGCAGCGCTTTATGTACGTCATCTTGGGGGCTACATTCATTATGTTCGATATTAATTTGATTATTGAAAAAAAAAACCACGGATGCCTTTCGGTTCCGAATATTTTTAGTGAGTTTGAACGCTAACAGCACGGAGGGCGGCGACGTTAACGAATGACGCCACAAAAAACGTGAAACGGACCCCGCCAGCGCCATTTTGGCAGGGGCTGAAAGAAGAACGTCTGCAATTCGGCTGCTTGTGCCCACATTCTAACGGGCCATGGTTGGCACATGTGTCGCTCCCGGCTGCAAGAACCGTGTGAAACGGGATTCTGGACTTACGTTCCACGCGTAAGTATGCCCTACGTGATACGTCCCAGCCCTTTGCATGTTTCGCATTTCAAATCGCGTTTTCAAACTCGGCCCTCACAAGCTTGACAATAGTTATAGCGCGAGAAGAAAACGACGACACAGAGACGAGAAGGACGCTGTGTCGTCGTTTTGTTCTCGCGCTATAACTATCGTCATGCCATACCAACTAGCCCAAGCTGCCACACCTCACAAGCGCTTCCGTACGCGCTGTTGCATCTTCGATGAACGCCTTTTACTCGGTTGTCCTCGATTGCCTCGCATGCATCTGGTTCGAAAAACTATCCCTGAAACTTTGTTTTTGATGCTGTAGTGCCTTCCCAATTCGTCGAACTGCGAAAACTGTATATGCGTCCAGTGATGTGCTTGCGATAGCTTGCACCGCAAACGCTACACGTTAAGCGTTGTACTTCTTCTTCTGGACTTGTTTCAAAAGTTGTTTCAACTGGACTTGTTTCAAAGTTGTTACTGTACTTGGTGAAATTTAGCAGAGCAACGCTTCGTCTCGCGATACGAAGCTCAAGAAGAAATCGTAAATTCGTAAAAACTTGTGTTGCTTGAAAAATAGAAAGACAGGGACATTAGTAGGTTTACCTGGGACTGCATCAGCAGTGTAGTAGCATGGTGACAGTGCCAAAAGCACTTCTGTCAGTTTTCTGCTCTGTTGTTGCCTTCTATAGAGCTCGTGGTACATCTATTGTACTGATTCCTTTACACAGTGCAGCAATTGGATCAATTAGGTCTCGAATTGTTGAAAAACTAGCGCTCACATCACGAAATTTGACATTGAAGCCTTGCCGTGACTTTGGACACCTGGTGTAATTGCAACTTCTCTTGTGAGCGTGCCGAAAAGCAAAGAGCGGCTTGGGCATGTTTGTGGCGGGACTTACTCGATTTCATTGCGAACAGGTCAGGTAGAGGCATTAAATTAAGGTGCATGCTCGAATACAAAGGCAAATCTTTAATTACATTTGCATAACTAGGTAGACACTAGTGCCTCTCCCCCTGCCTAAAGGTTTTTCCAAGTAGAGAGCTTGAGATTATTTCGATCTCTTGACAGGTTTCCAAAGGCTGCTGCTGTGCGAGAAGCATGGGCGCGCGCTGTAAATCGGTGGGACGGTTGGACCCCCAAAGATGGTGACCGTCTGTGCTCCATGCATTTTACGGCCGAATGCTTTGACAAAACTGGTCAGACGGTTCGAATACGAGCTGGGAGCTTACCAACATTGTTCCCAACTGCACACAAGGTAATCACAGCTAGTTTCTGTAATCAGTTTCGATACTCTAGTCTGCTTCAACACATTATGTGTGTGTGCACAAAGCTAGCTCAAAGACCGAAGTGAGCGTGATAAAAGTTTATTTGGTCCTCCATAGGTCACTGCCTGGCATGCCCTGTGCTGCTGCTCATGTTGAACGCAACTGCATGTACAGCTACCCAAATTTTGAACTAGCGTGCGTGAGCAGCGACTCTTCTCTGTGTCAGCACTGTATGATGTAGCTGAGCCGTAAACAGAGCCAGGGTATGTGCATGCCCACAACGCTCGCTCAGCTGGGTCCATCGTCTGCTGGGCTGTGCCTTCTTAAGGATGTAACCCTGTGTCAGTACATTTTAGACGAACCACGTTTTTCTGCTAATAACATGTCTGGGGGCATGTGGCGTATCTTTAAGTCTCATTTCTTTGACTGTAATGATCATCTTTGGAAAATAAAATAAAATACTTTCAGAACTATTTGCCTACTCACGTTGCCTGTTTGTCTGAAGTGCACTGATATAGAGTGAAGTCCTTAAGAAGGAAGAGCGTAGCAGTTGGTGAGCCAGAGTGAGCGTACTTTGTGGGCATGCGCCTACACTCGGCTTGTTTGCAACTCGGCTCCATCAAAAGACGCTGACACTCGGAGAAGTGGTCGCTAAAAATTGAGGCAGCTGTATAGGGTTTACCTCATTTAAAGTGAACACCTCACTATAATATTCAGGCCGGCAAAACTAGAAAGTTTATCCTACTTCAGGAGAGAAATTTTCGTTGTATGACATGTAATCTTGGTGTCGACACACACGACAATAGTTGCCAGAAATATGTATCAAACATCTGCTTATATGAGAGCTTGAATACAGATGTGACGTTCACCTTTGGTGCGGACTACCTTGCACATGTAACAGTAGCCAGCCTAATGAAAAAGTTCAACTGGGGAAGAGATTTGTCGTATAATTTCACTTAATTTTCAACACGGTATTGTGTTTCGTGGTTCACATTATTCAGAAAGCCACATATTTGACGCAAGATGCCGAATAAGCGCCCACCTCCCTTTCTCAGATCTGAAATAAGCCCAAAATGAGCACCAATGACCGGTTCTGGGTCAAGCAAGCGCCCTGCTCCCAAATCAGGTCAAATTATCCTTCACTGTAGAGGTGCACTTGCTTGGCATTTTACAGTAGTTGATGCCTCGGGGTTAATTTCTTCACTCGGAAAATTTTCAGATCCTGATTCATGAGTACAGCGCTCTGTGCAGTTGCCTGTGTGACCACATTGTTATATCTGTTGAGAAACATAATTAGTTGCATCTCCATTGTGCTGTATAGGCAAACACTTCACTTGCATGCAAACTTGAAAAGCATGAATAATGAATTCTTTGCCCTTTCCTTTTTTTTTCCTCCACAGCATAAAGCAAAAAAAGCCAAACTAAATACAATACAGAACCAGTGCATGGCACAGCCAGAAGTCGAGTTCACATCAAGCAGCAGTCAGCAACGGGAGGTATTGAGCATATTAATGTGATTGGCACTGCCCAATTGTGCCAGTTGACACTGGAAGTAGTGGTCCCGAGGGTTTTCAAAAATATTTACAATGTTGCAGGATGTTCTTATCACTTCACTGATCACATAAGTATTTATTGAAGCCTGTCGGTGGCCATAAACTCTATTGTGCTACACTTTTTAATTTACACCTAGGCAGTCATTTGATGAGACACTAGCTCCTGTTATGAGGTCGGCATAAAGTAAATGTCGCTAGAAGGTGACCTTGCAACGCTTTTCTCAAACTTCTCCTCTATGTAAGTTTGTGTATGTGCATCTTTATATATTACATACCAAACATACAATTTCTCCTAACAATGTTTCCTAAAGAAAATGATTTAAGACGTGCTCAAATAGCACTTTTCCTGAGATAAATGTGTGTACGGACACAATGTTAAAAATCTTCACTTATTAAAAAGACAGCATTAGATTTATAATATTTTCTTTTGTTTTTTATTCAATAAAATAATTACCATACAGTTTAATTTCATTCAACTGAGCTTTTAATTGCACTGCTTAAGTGTTATGTTATAGGCAGATGTCATTGCCAACTTTCAAAAGGGTCATTATTCGATGGATGACCATTTGTGAAAGGCCATCAAGAAGCCCTTGAAGCTATGGGTATCTGAATACAATAAAAGATTACACTTTGAATCATTATATTTATAAAGAGTGAACAGGGCGCGAAGCAAACATTGTTTAAAATAAAAAAATGGAAGAATTTTCCATAAAAGAGCAGTTTTATGCACTTACGACCTTGCCATTAAAACAAAAGCAAGAGTTCCTGTTGCCAGTCCCGGTTCTTTACTCACTGTTTTGCAAGAACATGTGGTTTATGGATGTAAAGAATATGTATGTTACATACATAAGCAAATGTTTGAGTACTAAATATATGCCCTCTTCAGGGATAACCGGGAGACACCAATGAGAGATATACACACAGGTGGCTACTTTTTTCGCTTAGTGGGAACTTCCATGTTTGTTTTCTGAGACACTGGACGCCATTGGAAATACTTAACAGCACCTTAACCGGTTGACGTTTCTGGCAGCTGCCTGAATGCTTCACGATGCTACAAACTATACGATATTACATTTTGTATGCATTTTAGTGCTATGTTTGCATAAGTAAAATAAAGTGGCGTTTTGCATGCAAACTTATCAGGGACATCGCCACCTCGTTTTATGCTTCCGTTATCGCGGTGCAATGTTCGCGAGGGCCGATGATAAGGAAATGATCAAAGGAGGCATAGTGGTGATGTGCCTTGGCAACGAATACGTTGGCTCTCATACGACTAGCAAAGGATTTGTACGTGTATATTATAGATGGGCAAATAGTAAGTTTGAGATTAGAAATAAATAGTGATTTCGTTGAACAATTTCAGGTTGGGTAGTTCGTCTAGTATATCTGATATTGTTAAGAAAATTGAGCATTTTTGTCAAGACCAGACTAAACCTGCACAATTTTCATACCTGACTAACTTGCTTTTCAACTGCACAGGTATAAATAACTTTTTTTTTTTGTTCGAAGTAAAGTGAAGCAACGTTCTGGCCGACCAGTCGAAGTATTAATAAAACCATATTTCTTGTGTGCACCCTTGTCTTCAATCATCCATCGTACTGTACTCATCATCGTCATAAAAAAAAAAACATTTTTTGGGTGTGTGTGTTTGGGTGCGCATGTGTGTGTTGCTCTCACTGGCGCTTTCATTTCAGTTGAATGGGCCCAAGTGACCCCTGAACTTCAGGTTTTACTCTTAACGTAAAGGTTGTTCAGTTACTGCCTTTATTTAGTGTATGTTATTTTAAACTATTGCTTCTCCCCCAACAAGACGAATTTCTGTCAAATTTTCATGCATTGCTATGTATTGGTTGATTGATATGCGGGACTTACAGCACATGAATTGATTGGCTATTTGAATATGCCTCAGTGTATCGAAATTTTTGCATCCTTACAGTGCATTCACACCACTTTGTATTTAGTTAAGCGACAAACTATTCATGCATCCTGGATGCCGTGTAGAAAGAGTACAGGTAAACTATTAAAGTTGCCTGTAATATGTAGAGCATCATCTACTAGGGGTGTTTGAACGAGAAGGTACAGAACCTTGTAACAGCATGACCATAAAGATAGGTGCGTATCCCATTACGGGTAAATGTACCGAGACATCTAAGGATGTGACTGGAGTCCTTGTTGTAGATTGGAGCGCGCGAGGGCACCCATATTCGCAGGGGATCTTATAAATAGCACCATCCGATTGACGTGACACAGTGTGTGCGAGGACAGGACAATGTTCGCCTTACATAATTCGACGACGGAGAAGCAGCGAGGCATTATCTGATTTCTGACAGCAGACGGCTTTAAACCGCCCACCATTCATTGCCTGCGATTTCCGAGTGTTTGGTCCCTGAAAAAACGTCTGAGAGAAAAGTGCTTCTGCTCGGGCGACAAACTCAAGGACGCTACTAAGCATTGAGAGAAAACCGCAAAAGTGGGACGACGAAAGAATGTTCACACAACACGAGCATTTCTTCATCCTCTTTTTGTGCTGTTCCCCCTAAATATCATGTACCAACTGACCCTTCAATACACCCTTCTCCTAAGCCTTGGGTACCGTCATGCCCACAGGAATTCCGAGAATGAGAAATCCTTTGGCTCATTCATTAATTGGGCTTTTGTGATCAGGCACAAAATGGATACTCTGAATAATGTCTTCACTTGTATCGACAGTGTCGTTTCTTGCCTTTTCGTTTGAACACACCTTGTACCTGACACTTCTGACATTTTTACATCAACTGCTGCCTTACATACATCTAAATCAGTAATACTAAAAGCAAGAAGTAATGGTCCGAAAGCTTGCAGGGCTTGTAAGTTTTGAAAAATTATGCCATAGAAGTGTCACCGACGAACGAAAATCACATACTGGATCGGACGTCTTAAATCTTGCTTTCAAAAGGTCAGAACGCACCTCACTTTGGCAGACATTACCCCTAAGGAAAATTGTCAAGGTCAGATTCAAATTAATGTTGTGCAAGTTGCATTCTTGCTCACTTGCGATTCTCGCTTACTTGTAAGTTAATTGTCTTTTAACTAATGCCTTCTAATTATTGATGCCACTAGAGAGCTCATCAAGACATTGCTTCAAGTTTTTACAATTGTGGCTGCCCTCCTGCTTTTGCATTATTTTTTAACTTGCCACATTTATTCTTGACCAAAAATGCTTGTGACCTTTCAGAGCAAAAATCTATCATTTGATCCTGGTCGAATGCTTTCCTTCTTTTTTGTCACCTAATGAACGAGGCTTAGAGGAGGAGTTGGACAGCGCAGTGCTCTGCGTAATCCTTTTTTTTTTTCCAACATCCAATTTTCGAGTTCAGCAGAAGAGTGACTATAATCTGGCTCTTCGCATCGCAGACACACAGTAGAGCAACCCGAGCAGCCACCAAGGTCCAGCAAACTGCCAACCAAGCACAAAAGCAGCTGCAAAGAAGAATCACCGGTCCCAACACAACATCATCACCCGTAAATGGTAAGTGAATCGCTAGGGCAATGTCTCTCAGCCGTTTGATTGCATGAACTCAAAATAGCAGTCAAGAGGCAAAACACGGCTTCCTTCTAGACTGAGAGTCATGGTCGTTAAATTTCTCAACGACCTTTGCAAACCAGTGGCATTCCTTGCTCATACGTGTAACATTGTAAGCTCTCTCAGCAGCTATGGCTCTCTTGCTCCTGCTTTCTTCTGCTATAATAATGTTTTGCATAGTAATCGTAAGTACAACATATGCTAGTGTGAATCGCTGAGTCCTTTTTATATATGCACATTATGTTGATGCTTACTCTGAATTGGCTGAATTCCTCGGGTTTTCTCCAAGTATCATGGCATGTGGGGTCTCTAAAGCCGCTCGGGGAACAAATAGGCAAAAGGTTAACTAAGAGCAGTCTTCCTCGCCCAGTATAAAATTAAAACACTAGCCATGTCTATTCAAGCCATTCTCATAACATTTCAAGTGTGCCATTCCCTTATATCTATTCAGAGCTTCACACTTCCGTGTTGTAGAGTTTTCCTACTGAACAAAACACTGCCATGGACTCCAGGATAGAGCTTTTGCGTGCAATATTACACCTCTGTCTGCTAAGCCTTTGCTAAATATGTTCTACTGGTCGCTGTAATTATCTTAAATGAAACCAGTCTCTAAAAAACTCTATAAAATTTTGTTTTCAAGTGCCTATGTCATAGTTAAGAAACCTGGCAGTGTCATGCATAGGAATACTGCAAAGCAGTCTTGCCTAATTTAACAGTTTTCGAACAACCTTGTGTATTTGGCTAGGAAACCTATTCAGTGTGCGTGATGTTCTGAAAATGCTTTCTGAAAATTTTTGTTTTGTTGGGGGGCGGGGGTGCAAGAATTTTTTTCAAGCTCAGCTTACTTGAGGTGTGTGATCGTGCATGTTTACACTGTATTAATGTGTCGCTTGTATGAGACACATCGCACGTAAAATTATCCTAGTAAAATTGGAACTGTCGTGTCCATACAATTTCAACATGCTTAATCTGCAATCCACCTTTTTCACGATACCACGGCGCATGCGCCCTTCCGCAAGCAGAAAAGTCACGAGACGCCTCTTTATTTTGAAGGCTTTTGTCATGGCAATAGCGGCTGTCCCAGTTTCCTACTAAAACCCTATCAAAATAGCAGAGGGCAGCGCAGGTGCATGAAAAAGGCAGATTGTAACCTCTTTGCACTCAAAGACATCAGTAAATGCAATCGAGATCTACACCACTTATTACATGTGTGATTAGAATATGGCGCCGCCTATGCAAGAATACAGGATGCATTCTGTATCCTGTATGCATTACATTTTATCTGTCATCTTGTTCACCTGGAGTATTATGAAGGTAAGCTTTTTCAGTGTTTAGGTGTCTTGTAATGGTTTATGGTAATGGCTCCTTGGACTCCTTCAGGGAGAGATTGGTTGGGCCAGATTAGCACAGCACTGTCTGCTGAAACCTAAAGTGAATCATCGAACACTCGCTGTGGAAAAGCTAGAAGCGCTGCACAGAACACGAAGATTGCGATTTTTGTGAATGCAAACCTATCATGCAATTGGTACAGTTGCATGGTACAACACTTTTGTAGCCATGCAGCAGGTGTTTTGTTGTGTCATTTACTTCACTATAGTATCTGGGAAAATGCTGCTTGCAGCCATGCACTAGCTAGAAACTAAGCTTGTTTGCAGTTGAACTCATCAAGAATAATCTTCTCTGTTCTTATCTACAACAGATGCACCAACCCAGGCTAGAGATGCAAGTTTGGAGGGCCAGCCATTGCCTAAAAAACGAATGTTCAACTTGCAGCAAGATGCCAGTATAAGTCAGCCAGCTCATTTCGAGAAGCTAAATTCAGTTACTTCCAACGGTATTAAAAGCGAAGAGGACCCAGACGGGGATAACATGTGAGTTGGCTTGCCGACTTCGATGTAAGCTAAGAAGGGTTATACTGAAGTACAGAACACTTGACTACTCTGCTTTGAAGAGATTCTGAGTGCACATGACAGATTTGCCAGTTTCTTGGTATGTGAGTGTTTTTACATAATGCTATCGATTTAGTTCAAACATCAAATAGAGAGCAATATCGTGGAATTTTTACTGGATATCTATTATCATCAAGTCTTTAGGGCGAGTTGGTAGTTCTTGAATGAAAATTTCAACAGCGCGGGAAAAAATAAGAATGCATGGAAAGAGAGCTAACACAGGCGAGCGCTGCCTGTGATTTTAAGGAGTTGCAGAACCTTGCCTATAGTAACACCACAAGCTTCAAAGCCATGAATGCATTATGATTATTATAAATATTATAGATTTTGTCAACAGTCCTTGAACCATCAATAATATTTATTCCATAGTACAGCTATAAGAGTTTTTCTTTGTATGCGAGAGGTTCACCACGCAACTGTAGCCATGTTGTACGGCGAATGGCTCACACCTATCTCTCGCCAAGTCTTTTACAAGCCACTACATATAGTTATTTTCTATACATTGCACAAAAACAGAACCATTTTTGCCTTTTTTTTCCTGGAATCGATACATAATTCAATAAGTATTCCCAGAGAGACAATATCAGCAGATGTAGTCATGTGCGATAACCACCTTGCTTGCCCCGACGTGCTCAGATTACCATAGAATGTAACCTGTAAAAGCAGTAAATTTTTTTTCGCGTCCTTTAGTGTATCAAAGGCACGGGAATCTTGAAAAAATTCTTTAGTACACATGGTGAACTATCCTTCTTAAATTACAGCTCTCATGTCTTGGAGATACATGCTGAAGTTGTTGGACAAACAGTGAACCGGGACCTCGACTCAGGTGAACCGGGCCCCGAAACGACAGCCACGGGAGCCTTGTTTCTGCACACATACTGCGGCGGGAAAAAAGAGTCAGAGGAGGTGGTCAAGCTCAAGCTGTTGCTTCAGCTTGCTAAACGGCGCCTCGGTGTGGCTGAACAGAAGCTGAAGCGCAAGTCAGAGGCGTACAACAAACTGCTTAATACCAACAAGGAGCTCAAGTTTGAGGTGTGTGTGCCTTTCGTTGAATGCTGTATTGTTTAAAACTGGCAGCCAATTTTTAGGAATGTCGAAAAACTGAAGGCTTGCCAGCAAAGAAGTTTTTGGGACGCACGGAACGCTCTGGTCTGGATAGTAGAACAGCTTAGAACACAGAAAAGCTCCCACATTTTTGAAAAGAATAGTAGGTCACTTAAAGATGCAAGGACAGCCATTTTCTACATTGAAAGTTAAAAAAAAATACTGATGCAATTGTTGTTACTGTATATAAAAAAAAGATGCCGAGCTTAAAACATTAACGCAGCACCTCGAGTGTGCTGAGATAGCGCCCTGCTCCCACATATGGCACCAGAAGAGTGGTATGTAGCAATAGCTACCTCCAAATCTTAGTTTACCAAACAGCATGAGGACTGTTAGGCAGTTTGATGCAGCCAGAATTTTATATGCATACATATAAAATGAAGAGAAAGAAGAAGTGATAGAAGTGCAGCGCAATTCGGTCAATGAATGTGTGGTGCAGCGCATGATCATTCCGAGCTTCAATATGAAATCGCTTCTTTCTAGTGAGTCATCTGTAGCAGTGTCACATGCTTATTATTGGCAAATGCAGTGCTGCGTTCCCTGTCAATGTTTAGAAATCCGGTTGGGCATTTCAGCTGCGCACTACTACCCAGTCACGTAAAAAAGTCGAAATTTTTTCCACTCTCCGAATTTCATGTCTTCTATTGCAGCGAGACAGTCTGTGGTCCTTCATTCATGTCTGTGGCACTCCGGCGTGCTTGCTAATTGTATACCTGCAAAACATATGAACCTCAATGTAATAAATTTCACTATACAACGAAGTTTTCCACTTCATGTAAAACTTCATTATACGTACTGACGTTTGACTCAATATCAATAGGCGGTACAGGACCATCACATGCAAGATTAACATAATGCAATGCATTTACTGGCCTTGCACAAGTAAGTTTTCAGGGTGGTTGCATGAAAAAAAGGATTAAGAGACACCAATTCGTTAACAAGGGTTAATTAGATGTGTATTATATTGCACTACATACTTCCAATGTTCGGCCAAACACTGCGTCATGTCTTGAAGCCACATGAACTATAAAACGCAGAAATAGTAGAAATACAATAGACTCGTAGTAGCAAATTGAAATCTTATAAACAGAACTGCTGCTTAAAGAGAACAACTGCCACTGATACATTTGGTTTCATGCTTGTACCAACGCCTCTTTTAGAAAGATGCCTGAGGAATGGGTCGTGCTCCCAGCAGAGTTGCCTGCCGTCAGTCTTGAGCAAGTGCCGCGAGGTGGCGCTCGCGACCGACACTATCATCACGGCGGCAGGCGGTACCACAGCGCGTCGGCAGCTGCTGACGTTCCGGCATGCGCTGTGTTCTGCATGATTGTATGGGTGCGTTTTTTAAAGGTGGCGCAAATGTCTTTGGAGAAGCAATGGCCTACTGTGAGCAGCAAGCACTCGGTAGTGGTGAAATAGTACATGTAGAGACAGTCAACGAAACTTCCCAAAAACACACTGAAATATTCGTGCAGGACATGGCGTATGCACCAGTATTTTCAGCGTCACTAACAAAGGGTTTCCTTTCCAAATGCCTGCAAACGTTGCTTTAAGATGAACATGGGGGTGAACGTATTTGTGCCTATTTTTTTTTTTTTTTTCAGTTTTACACAGCGAAATTTGGGTAGATTCAATAAACAGCTTCGAAAATGACAGCAATGATTTTGATATGAATGTTTAGAAATCTGGCTCATGAACACAAACAGCATCATAAATTAACACGCACAGGCAAATGAGTCGAGCTGTGTTACAACTTCAGCACTTTTCGAGAGAGAGAGGCTTGTTCTCCATGATTCTCACAGTAGCATTGCTGTCAGTCGCACCGAGTGCATAATTACTGAGCATTGGCTTTATGAACTTCTTCGAAATGAGCTCGAAGAGCTGCTTGCGGTGGTCGACGTCTGCGTTTCCACAACTCAGAACTGGAAGTACCACAAGTAGTTCAACAGTGCACTTTATGCAAACCTCAGGGGGCTTTGTGATGCCTCTTCTGTGCACCAAAACACCATCTACAAACTTCCTGAGCCCTCCTAAAAGCTTCAAGAGTTCTTGGCTTGGATATAGCAGTCCACCACGGTCCTGATGTTCAATAAGCCCAAGAAGGTGAGTGCAGCAGTGGGACACTATTCTGACAGGAGATGCTCTCGCTTGCAGCTCGGACAATAAAACGTCCCACCATTGCCCCGCTACATCGGGATTTGAATGGTATGGTAGTTCTGAAAGGCAGTGTTCCTCTAACACGGCAACTGTCATGTTCAAGATCTTTTCAGCCGCACCCGGGTTAGTAGTAGGGCTTATTTGAGAAGAGAGAAGTTGTCTCGATGCAAAGGCCGTCGAGCTTTAAACATTGCTTTCTTTGGAAGCAGCAATGGTGCCAGTTTTCAACATTTTCTCTAGACTCCATACAGCGCTCTTCACGTCTAACATGTTGCTGCTGGAACTTCGCCATAAAAAGCCAAAAAGTGACTCAATTGGATCACTTGACAACTTGCGTATCCGCGCAAACTTAATATGCTTCAGGGTGAGCAAATGGCGTATGCAGTCCATGTTTGATTTAGTTGCGAAGACAATGGCATGATACATGTCTTTACTGAAAAAGTTTCCTGCCAAGCTTTTATTCTTCAAGTCTTCAATGTAATCGAGGAGGTCAGTTTCCAACCATTCAAGCCTTGGGTCTTCGATGTCTGTGAACGGCTGAGCGTCTTCGTTGTTGCAGTGAATATACTGTTGAAAGTTACTCACGTCCGTGAGGGTGAACCATTTTTGCATAATTTTTATGAACTCGATTGTAGGCCTCGCTTATGTGAACTCCAAGTCCCAGGTGTGTCTGGCCTGGTCTTTAAGGTAGCTAACAGCTGCTGTTACTGCTGCCGATAACAACTGCACAGCAGGCCTAACGCTCATTTTCTCTGTATTTGAAGGGTAGACATGCTTGCGGTTTAGAAATCTCATTGGCTTCATTGTAGGGTGCTTCTGCATCCTATACAATTGTTTAACATACTTTGATGACACGTGTTTATTTCTACGAAAGTCCTTTGCCAAGAACTGAGATCTGACATTTCTTATGATATGGCTCTGGTCAAAGGAGAGGTAGATTTCTTTAGAAAAGTCGGCGGGGTGTTGATCTTTTATAGCTGCTTTGCCATTGCACATTATGTTCATGGCTTTCACGTTGATCTTGTGATTATCCATCACAAGGCGAAAAACGTCAAAACCGGTGTCTGCAAGCTTTTTAGCACGTGGCCTATGACCAGAGCAAGTTGCTGACCGGTGCAGCCCTTTGTAAAAAATATACCCAACTGTTATCTTGAACCTGGCGCCTAGGCTACACACAGAACGAAACACATTAGTGAGTTGGCCAGATACTCTCCTGATTTGGGAGCTAGTTGTTCCAATCCAAGACCAATGTTTACGACGCCAACAAAGGCATCCCGCTGCTCGTGGTACAGCAGTTCTTGCTGTATCCTCACCTCATCGACAACAAGGCCACAAACTTTTGACTGGAAGCTGTAAATTTTCCAGTTCTGTTTGGAGGCGCAGGCGAACAAGTTCACTGAAACCGACTTCTCCGGAGCTGCTGCCACTATGTTTTTGAAGAGTAGTGCGACATGGCAAAGTTAGTAATTTCTCTGACTTAATGTATTCATATGCTTTGGTAAATAAGTCTTGAATGACAATGCAGTGTCTAATCGTTGTTTCTGACCACGTTGGTCTCTTCTTTTTATAATTCTTCATTCGATCTAACAGTAACACAGCTTTTGTGCTTCCCTCTTCAGCATCGGCTACAACTCCCAAAAATGCGCTTACATTGCACTCTTCTTTAAGTTTTTCGAGTTCGTTCTTGTAGGCGTCTTCAGTTCTCCGCAGCCTTTCATTTTTAGCTTTCAGAGCACGTTCCTTTTTGCGCCATCACTTGCGCTGAACCAAAAAATGCGATGAAAACGCGCTTGGGGCTGTTCGAGTCTTCACAAAGCGCTTGTAGGGCAGGGTCACCTTCTTTCTGGTGCTCATTTTTGCGCCAACTACGATAAGCACATCTTGCTTTTTTGCATCCAGGGAAAATGTTGCGACATCAGTCAGCACTGCAGGCCCTGTCATCGCGAGCAAACCAACATCGTGATTGCCGCTCAATAAACTGGTACTTTCTTGCACGGGTTCGCTCAAGTTCTTCAGATTTGGGTGCACGTTAAAGAACCCCAGGTGGTCAAAATTTCCGGAGCCCTCCACTACGGCGTCTCTCATAATCAAATGGTGGTTTTGGGACGTTAAACCCCACAAATCAATCAATCAAATCGCTCAAGTTCTTGTTCTCGCTTGTTGGCGACTCGTCAACTTTAGGACCACTTGCTTCCATCTCGCTTCCTCCTGTCGACAAGGCTGTGGTACCACTGTCGTCGTGGCTGCTGGCATTGCTCGGAGAAGCCTCGCGCTTTCTTTTCTGTATTCTTCGTCTTGCTTTACTCCGACCATTTCGATGTCTGCAGTCTCGCCAGTCGGGTCATCAAACACGCTAGGAACAGCATCCGGCTTTAGAAGTAGTCTTGTGCAACCGTCTCTAAACTCCGATAGAATAGAGTGCAGACTACATACCACAGAATAGTTCGAGGTACTGTTTGGTACCCACGATTCTCTTGAAATGGCGGTTAACCATCGCTCGCGTGAAGGGCTTTCAGCCGCTGTCTCATGAAAAGACACACCGTCTTGGTTTCGCCGCTGACTAGACCTTAACTTTGGCATGCAACAATAGTGCATGTCCGAGTGTAGATGGTTGGACCGGACGCACGCACAACACAAGTAGTGAACAGGCCTTTCAAGATAAAAAAAAAAGCAAGTACAAGCAATAATGCAAGCGTGCCTACCACTAGCACTCGCACTGCAATGCAATGTACGTCTGCTCGCTGTCATAATTTCTCGCACAAAACGACAAAAACAGTTTCAAAGACAATGTAAGACCTCCCACAATCTTGAAACTTATTATTTAGCATTTTTGCATCTAATTTTGCCATAATACAAGTTATTTGTTTGTTCGTGTGCAGTAATTACCAAGCACTGCACGCTTTTTCTCTGCGCGCTGCGCGAATGTCGTCTACTAAGCGTTTTTCACCTGCGGCCCATAGGGGCGCATCAGTGGAGAGTTATTCGAGACCTGCAACAGCACACGACTATTTCAGAGGCTATGCAGAATGTTGAGTTGTTGCACTGTCCGCCACAGGTGACGCTAACGACCGACATTATTCTAAATGAAGGAGGGAAAGGGTGTGGCATCTGTTTTCCTTCTTATGCAGCAGGCATCTAAATAAAGAAGGCATTGCTAGTACGCTGCAGTCCTGTTCATCTCTCAGTAAATGGGACATAATTTTCTGTCCCTTCAGATTCCACTTAACGAGAGTCTACTGTAATTAGTCCGTAGCCATGAACAAATGCATGGTGTTGTATGCTAATTCAAGTCATTCTGCATGCAGCTGTCGCTAGCCCAGCGGCCAACGCAGCAGCAGTTTTCAGTGAGCCACCGGCTGCCCCAGGAACTGTTACGCGACTGGCATGAGAACGCCGGACGCGTGCCACACGCGCGACGCTACAGCGCCACGACGCTGCGCTTTGCCGCTGACCTGCACGCTTGCTCGCGCACTGCCTACGAGCACGTGGCCCAGTGGCTGCCCATGCCCACACTCTACCTCGTCCGGCGCCATACCGCCATGTCCTCTCACTGCAGCCGGGAGAGTGGTGGTGCTGCTGTGGTGACAACACCCAGCAGCCAAAGTGAAACCACTGCGGTTGGGCCTCGAGACAACACCTTGCCTGCTAGCAGGTAATCAAAACAGCGTCATGATGTGTGCCTCTTCTGACAGTACCACATAAGCTCAGCGAAGCATACGAAGCATAACGCACGAGACTGGTACTGTGCTGCGTCAGAATATTGCGGTCGTATTGGTACGGTATAGCATACGCAACATAAGATGACCGTAGTTCTTGGCTCAGCTGCACTTTTCAACATTGTCTTCTCAGTTTCTTGGAGCCATCAATCATTTAATGAGCCCAAATAACGGATTATGCTCTGCGAGTATATAGCGACACTTGTCTTGAGAAATTCTAAATTGTAACAGCAGCTATGTTCAGTCAGCCACCATTCTCTAGTTGACAAAAGTTATCTCACCATATGAGTTCTTGAAAACTAACAGACAATAAAGCCAAGAATGGTACAGGGTACGTTTATTGTAGTGTCTTAACTGTACTGTGGCAATTATGATATAAATATGAAGAAAGTAATGTGGACAAAAAGACAGCGGGCCGCCGGTTCGCACAGCTCATAGTCATGACGAGTGTTCTACACTCGCCTTTATGGCTAACAGCTGCGCTGACTAACACTTTCGGGTTTGTGTGCACATAAATACCCAGTTAAGTGTGCAAGAAGATGGCCGCCGCCGTAGCTTGATTGGTAAAGCATAGAGTTTGTTATTCGAAGGTAGCAGGTTCGGTTTCTGGCGGTGGCAAGTTGTCTTTTTGTCTAGTTAGCTTCTCCACGTTTATATCATAATTACTACACTACTGTTAAACAGTACAATTAATGTCTCCTGTACCTTTTTTGGCTTTATTAATATTGTATCAAAAAAATCAAGCCCTTAAAATTCCCCTTTTTTTTCGTATGAGCTCATAGATTACAAAGTTTAAAAGAGTTAGCAACAGGCCACACAATGCCAGCCTCCTGTGCCCCTCTTTAAGACCCACAAATTTAAATCGCAGTTTTTTTTTCTATTGTTTGCAGGTTCGCAAGCTCAGTGCCTCGTTACCGAAAGTTAATATCCTGGATTCCTGCAGCAGCCTCAAAGTCAAGTGTGTCAACATTCTCTTCAGCGCCGCGTGCAGTGAAGTTGGCAAATGCTCCAGTCGTGCAAGCCGGTCACAGTGCACCCACTATATTCGTCATAAAAAATGCAAGTCCACCAGAAATGGGAACGCCCCGAGATGCAGCTACGCCACCCGAAACAACATTGTCCACGAAAGCAGCCACATTGTCAGAAACGACTACAATGCCAGAAACAGGGGTAGCCACATTGTCAAATACGACTACAACGCCAGAAACGGAGGTAACCACATCGTCAGAGACGACTACAATGCCAGAAAAGGAGGTGGCCACATCATCAGATATGACTACAATGCCAGAAACGGGGGTAGCCACATCGTCAGAGACTGCTACATCTGCAGAAGTAGAAACACAAGTAGGGACAGAGGTGCAGCCTAAAACGAAGACGCCGTTAGATATGGATAAACAATCGGAAGGGAGGATGCACGAAACGGATACCGAGCTAAACACTGAAACAATATCAGGTTCACTCGATTCAGGAACAATTACAGACTCTCCCTCAGTACAAACAGTCACTGCCATATTTGTTTCCAGAACACTTGCTTCGTGAACTTGAGGCTTCAATATATGTGTATATAAATCAAAGAGACTGCACTCATTGGCACATGTGACTGTGTGAAAGTGAACGCTCATAAAAATAGGTGATGTTGCATTATTCACTAATTACTAAGCTGAGCAGATATGGTTTCACTGCTCCATGTCTGTACTACACACGTTTCATGTCTACTTGTTTCGTGAATTTGAGGCTTCAATATATGTGTACATGAATTAAAGAGACTGCACTAATTGGCACATGTGACTGTGTAGAAGTGAGTGTTCATAAAAACAGGTGAAGTTGCATTATCCACTAATCACTAAGCTGAGCAGCTATGATTTCACTGCTCCATGTCTGTACTACACACATTTCATGTCTACGCTGCAGATATTCTCTTGACAAACTTGTCACTGTACCCTCTAACACTGTTGAGAAATCTTGACGAATGTCTTGCATAAAATTTTCGGTATTCATCTGTTAAAGAGTTATGAGCATACACCATAACAGGCAGAAAACACTGATCAATTCCCTAACTCAGTCAGGTGCCTTCCCTTTACAAAAAAGAAAAACTGGCTGGAAAACTAGAAAAAGCTTCAAGAGCAGTGTGCTTTTTGCAGACGAAGATGGTCTTTGGCAGCTTTTTCAATGAGAAAAGAACTGAATGGAAGCATACATAATTAGGTAAACTTTTACTGATGCATAACATGGCATAAATTTGAAATGACATATTTACAGTGATGAAACGTACAAGAGCACTTCTTCATACAGATAAGCGATTCAAGAGGCCCAGCAACAACATTTATCCAAGCAATCAATTTTAAAGAATTGAAGAGCAACACTAACTACAAGGAGGTGGGAGTGAATCACAAGAAAGCCACTTACAGAGCACTGCACACATTCATTTTGCACGTGTGTGTACGTATTCCATCTACTATTTTGCACTACTTTTACTTCAAATGTGAACAAACAACTAGCTGAAGGTCTTATTTCGTTAGGCTCATATTTTCTCATGACATTCTTAGCCCACCAAAAGACCTATTGGTCGAAAGAATTATAACAAACTGTGCCCAAAAGTTTAATAATCCATATACAAGCAAAATGAGGGTTTTGTTTATAGAGAACTGTAACCCAACCCCTCCTCTAGAACAGTTAGGTACCAGCGAAGGGTACAATTAACGTACAGTAGAGTCTCGGTGAACAATAATTGGCCCGGTATCTGCATGTTATTCTGCAAATGTCGTCAAAAGACGATACTCTTACGTGTGGAGAGGGTGAACAAAACATTTATTTGATGTTCTGCGGAAGAAAATCGGTGAATGGTATTCTGAAGGCGCTGCGCTGCGTTAGAGTGCCTCGAGCGTGCAGCGGAGGCGAACGAATGCATCAAGTCACGTTACATGTTAGACATAAGCGCCATCTGGCAGTTTTTTTGGAAAACTACGGTAAGCGTGTGGCTCTGAGACGGGCCCGTCTCAGAGGTGATAAGGTGTAGAACGCAAGGCAATGGGTAAGTGCCAGCACCATCTTGTCTTAGCAAAGCGTTGAAAACGCCGTTTCGTGCAAGCGTTGCATGGTCAGCACAGCGTGATAAGCGCTACGGTCCTTAAAATTACTTATTTATGCCTTTTCTAGTAAAAGGCACACATGCAAAATATATACGTGTTGTTATGGTGCCCCAGATATGCGCAATAATTGCTTATTATTTGGCAATCGCACAAGTTTGAACGCTGAATCTTGAGCAACATTGGTGAGCGCTGCGGTAGAGGTCCGCCGTTTCAAGTACCCGATGCTGTTAAGAGTGGACAAACAGACAAATGTATAGACAAATGTACAGACACACAGACAGACCCAAATTTTTGCGTCGAAGGTCCGCAAAAAAGACTATCATCTTTAAAAATCTGTTTAACGGAAGTGCTGTTTAAACAGTAAATGAAACAGGTGCAAGATTGGTTTCATGCTTGTATTCAGCAACCTTGTTCATCTCTCAGTGAACCGAACTCCTGTTCCGGAAACGGAACATGTTTTTCTGGTCCCTTCAGGTTCCATTTAATGAGAGTCTACTGTATGTCAAACAGTTATGAACTATGCAAGAACCATAGCACATACTGCTTACTCCAAATTGATGGGCTTCATTTTTCCAGCTAACTCACTCGTTATTCTTTCACAATGCACAGAAATATACTGTACACGCATGCACGTGCATACACGTTCAAAATGTCCACTAATACTGGACCTTTTCCGTGTTCATACTGCATGTAAGGGGCTAGGCATGCAACGAAAAGTATGCAAAGTACCTAGTGTAACACAGTTCGACAGCGCTGGCATTGTGTCCATGAAAGCCAGAAAAGCACTAGGTGCTTTTCTATTGCCTAGTTACCACACATGGAAAGGTGCCATCGCGGCAGGAAGCACACTATTTGTGCCTAAAGGTCGGCGTCGGTGAGCTACACAGTGTCCCAAAATCCTCAAAGAAGCGAGCCGGAACTGAATCCAGCTCAACCTTGAAAAAGTAAAAAAAAAAAAAAATGAAAGGGGGGGGGGGGGGGACAGTGGAACTGTCAAGAATGTTGCCTTTTGTCAACAGAAGTTGCATTATCTCATGCGCTTGAGCGTTATCTATCTTGCTCTGGGAATACTTTGGTTTAATTACGGAATTGTTCATGAAATGCAGCAATGTTCCCTTTTAGATGGTTGATCAATGTAATTCTTAAAAATAGGTTGCAGTTCAAAAAAGAAGGAAGCCACACTTTACCAAATGAACAAACCAGTACACCGATATAAAGTTTTATGGTTTTACCACAACATGGAGACTCTTAAAAACAAAAATGGAAGCACAGCAAGTTAAGGGCAATGCACCAGAATCTTGTTCTGATTCTCTAAACTACATGTCATTAGTTGAAACATCCGACGGTGATAAACTGTCACGTTTACAAAGCTTAGCCACAAATGAACCATATCAAACAATATGAAGTCAACAGGGAGTGAAGACTAGAAAAACGGAGGGGCCATTTTTTCCTAGTTTTCGGGGCAAAGCGCCTCAAGTGAGGCTTCTCTGGTGTCCATTGTGATGGCTGCATTATATGGGGCAACGTTCGGGTAACGTGCGATATAGCCGCACCATACGCGAGACACAAAACAAAAGTTTAACGCTAAACTAATATCAGTCATAATTGTTACAGAACAACATAAAACACCTACAAGCAAAAACTCTTTATGCTACTAGCTGGAGACTTCAACGTAAGACTTAGGACCTTACTTCGCCCACTCATGATGATTCACTTCGAGATGCATGGACATTTTTAGCCGAAAGTGTAGTATACTCAAACTTCATTATAACAGCGTTGAATTTTACGCGAAAATAAGTTTGTTATACCCGAAAATTTTTTATAAAAGTATATTCTTGACACTATGTCTATTGGAAAATTATTCATTTACTTTGTTATAATCAACATTTTATAACATCCAGATTCGTTATATTGAGGTTTGAGTGTACTTATAACACAAAGAAAAAGAATGGTGGAAAAGAAACATGCAGAATCCTGCTACCAGTGGAAACACTGGCTGACACTCCCAGGGCTACACATGTGGAAATACCCAACAAAGTATTGAAGAGATAGTATTGCCACTGTTAAAGCAAGATTGTTAGTGCACTCTATATGTACAGTGCAAATGTCTTGGGTTTAGTACATAATGGCAGCAAGTTGCTTTACCATTAACTTTAATTTATTTTCGTTTCACAGACTACACATCAATTAAGACCTTCAAGTATAGTAGAATCTCATTAAACGAAACCTGAAAAGACCGGTAAAATATGTTCCACTTAGCAGGAGTACAGAACCAATCATGTCAGAGGCAATGGTTCCATTTAAGCAGAAGTTCCGCTTTCCGTTTAGTGAGAATCTACTGTCCAGCTCCTCAATATTTTCCTTGACTTGACTGTCTGTTGGCTTTGTATGGTAGTGTCTTAAAAAAAAGGGGCTTCTGATCCATTCACCTTCTTCAGTTCTTTTTAGTCACACATCCATCATATACTTCAACTAGATGCATCAACTCTGTCTAGTTTGAATGTCTCAACAGGTACACCCCACGGATTTGTCAGATAAGTCAAATGAGCATTACATGCACTTGGATGATTTTAGCCTTCTGTTCCAGAAAGCAACACACCTGTGCTTCAAGAAAACTTTTCTGAGGCTATGCAGTGAAAGCTACTGAGAAGGCTACCATAAACTTATGAAAGTGCAAACATGCTCTATGACTTTCAGTTTCAATCATGAAAGTGTGGGTTTTAGGGACTTGCATTGCACTCATGACAAAAATTTTCAGTGAGCCGTAATCTCTATATCGGATATTTGAATGGCCAGTGTCTTGGTTGCGCCAACTTCTGGTTGGCACGACTCATCCTGACTGCCGCCACGCCCAGTACGTGCACGTGATCTGCAAATCCCACATCAAGTACACGCAAACCCACGAGGCTTTTTCTCTGGCATCTCTCTCATTTGCTGAAGATAACATAATAGCTAGTGGTATGTGAATAACATTCAAAATTTCAAATATTTTTCTAATAGTGCTCGCTATTCAATTCCATCCACACTGGAAGATTACTATTCCAACTTCCCGAAGACAAACACAGCCCTATGACACTCTCGTGCTGCAACACAGCTGCCTTTCAGGCGCTGTTATGGTCGCAAATGTATTGACTCGATAAAACACTGGTTCTCATTTGGAGATTCGATTCGACAGAGCAGGGGGTTCAGTTAATGCCGTATTGAACCTGAGGTTTGGGCAGAGAGTCAGAAAAATTGAACGCTGAAGATTTTTAGTGCCTGAAATGACAAATGTTCTGATGTATTGGCATTTACAAGGCAGATTGGGAACTCCTAACTGGAAGGGAGCATACCCTTGTCTGCCAAATCACTTGGGCTTCCGCAGAGATTGAGGGATGGGAGAGATGGGGGAAATAGCCTCTTTTCCTTTCACATGCAAATTGTTATGACACCACATTGGTTGCACCAAATCATGTAAATACAACCGTATCTTCACTGCCTCATTCTTGATATAACAACTATAAAACACCACCCTGCCATCGCTTCGTCAGCCTAGCCAAAGGAAACACTTTCATGTAGCTATCTCGCAAGACTATACCTAAGAGTTCTCTCCAACTTTTTTTTTCTGCAATATCGCTTCAAAGTAGTAAAAAAATAAAATATTTTAGAAATATTTTTGAATTATTCAATACAGTTCGCACTAACACTACAATTTTT